TATATATATATATATATATATATATATATATATGCTTAAAATTCTGCAATGTTAATTGCACCAAATAACTTTTGAGGCGCAATCCGTAATAAGCCTAATTTACATAAAAAGACAGAAAAATGGCTTAATTTGCATGTAGTCATGGCAAAACACAATTTCATTTCAGCTCAGTTGGCACCTGGTTTGCAGGTGCTCTGTGATTTAATATGCAGGTTTTGTGCTGAAATACCTTGCAACCATTACATGCATGTTTTTGTTCTGAGTTAATTTTGTACCATGCTTATTTATTGTCAGTGTGACATGTTTCTGTCTACTTTTTTATATATTATCTTGTCAGGGCCCATTACTTTGTATCTCTATAAAATACAGACATCCATCAATGTCCAAAAATAATAGATAGAGCAAGACAAAAAAAAGTGTTGCCTGGTCCAGTCAGCAGTGTTGATTTATAACTGGGGTATTAAGTTAAACATAATCTCAGTCTTGCTGCAGGACACTTAGTGATTTATGGACACTTCATCTGCCTGTAAAAACTGAAGCATATATAGAAGAACATGTCCACCAACCAGGACAGCCTGATATGCTCTGTGATGGACAAGATAATAACAGAAGTCCTCAACTAGGCACACAAACACAGTTTGTTACAGCCTATTCTACTATTGTATTGCATACTGTGCTGTAACTTCTGTGATACTATATATCAGGGGTCGACAAGTAAGTTTGGCATTGGGCCAAAAGAAAAAAATTGCCACTAGATGGCGGGCCAGGACAGAGTCAAAGGATAATTTAGGAAATTAATTGATGAAAAATGCAACTAGAATTGCCTGTGACAGACTGTTACAGTGTCTTTTGTGGTGAGCTGTCTCTTAAATCCTAAAGCCACATTTGTGTGGCGGTGTCCGGCAGAGCTCTGATACTATACTATACTATACTATACTATCCCATACTAGCATGTGAGCAGAATGAAGCATCAACAATTTCCCCTCCGTGCTCCGAGCATTTAATAATCACTCCGCTCCGGGTTCACCATTTCCCGCTCCCGCTCCACTCCTAGCTCAATGAAATCAGAAACACCGCTCCGCCTTCACACTTCACTCCGCGGATAAAGTATTTCGGTATGTTTGAAATATCACAGTTCTGTTCATAACATATTAAAAAGTAAAATAAATAAAATAACAGGAGAGTTTAAAAGTGGCTTATTGGAACACTAGTGTGCAAACTTTTTTCCTACCACATGACAAGCTAATAACATGGTTGTCAGCATAAAAGGTATAATTGCTGCTTTTTGCGGTGCAAATTTTGTTTGTGATGAAAATAACAGTACGTTTTCGTCAGCTATTTTACCTACGGATCGATGCATTTCTTACAGATTTCTGCTCATTCGAAATTGGATACAGGTGAAGTAGCACTGTAAGATTAAATTTATTTGAATGCATTATTGAGCGAGCGATTGCGTGTTATAGTACTTGTTTAAATCATGCTTTCAGCTGAAAATATTCAGTATAGAAGGAACAAACAAATTCCTTGAGAACATATAACTTCCCGCTCATGTCCATTACCGTCATTATAGCCTTCACATTCTTTGTGATTTGAGTGATCCATCTCCATCAAGCTAGCTAAATATGCAGTTATATTATGGGCTGTTGGCATGAATTGTACACGTGATCGAGCGGTGGTGGAGCACTCTTGGAGCGAGTGAAAACCACGACGCTCCGACTTTTAAAAAATCCGCTCCTCACTCATGACAGATCTATTTCAGAACCAGCCGCTATCAAAATAATCTGTCTACGGGCAAAAACTGGCCCGTGGGCCGCCTGTTGTCGACCACTGCTATATATATATATATATATATATATATTTGCATAAAAAATAAAATAATATCTGTTTTAAGTTGTATTGTACATTGCAATATGAATAATAATGGGAATAATTGAACAAAGCAAATTTCATAACCAGCTATTTTAAGAACAATCTTAAATACGTGCACACTACAAGGCTCAAGCTTGTCATCTATGATTTTCAATCTGTGCACTTTTTTATGCAGAAACACTTCAATTATTCACAGATACTACCAAAGATTTTTTTTTTTTTATATTTGTAACCATTTTGAAATCTACACTCAAAAAAATTATAAATGCAACACTTTTGTTTTTGCCCCCATTTTTCATGAGCTGAACTCAAAGATCTAAGACTTTTTCTATGTACACAAAAGGCCTATTTCTCTCAAATATTGTTCACAAATCTGTCTAAATCTGTGTTAGTGAGCACTTCTCCTTTGCCGAGATAATCCATCCACCTCACAGGTGTGGCATATCAAGATGCTGATTAGACAGCATGATTATTGCACAGGTGTGCCTTAGGCTGGCCACAATAAAAGGCCACTCTAAAATGTGCAGTTTTATCACACAGCACAATGCCACAGATCTCGCAAGTTTTGAGGGAGCGTGCAATTGGCATGCTGACTGCAGGAATGTCCACCAGAGCTGTTGCCCGTGAATTGAATGTTCATTTCTCTACCATAAGCCGTCTCCAAAGGCGTTTCAGAGAATTTAGTGTTGCGTTTATAATTTTGTTCAGTGTAGTTTGCAGTAACTAGTTGCAGACACTACAACAGGTTTAATACCTGCTTTTA